GGGAGCGGCGCCACGGGGGCGGCCCAGTCAGGGGGGGGGCGGCCCCGGGCGGGGGGGGGGGGGGGGCATGTAAGCACCAGTCCAGTTCATATCAGATGAACAGGAAATAGAAATACTTGACCAAACTTAAAACATATTTGAGGTGAGTAAAAGACTAACTGTGGACCTCAGAAAAAACAAACTTTTCCAAAGGCCCTGGATGAGAGCGTTGACTGAGTACAGCTGCTACAGTCTGACACATCACAGTATTACTGCAGTACTGTGGTTTAGTCTGCTGGACCCACACACTTGGCTACTGCTGTGGAAACAAAACAAATCCCCAGGCAACGGGCTGTCACCGTCCACGACATGTAAATAATCACCACGTTCAAGTGCCTTTAATCATCCTGACTTTACTCATTCATCACTTCCTGTCCCAGTTCAAAGCTTCGGGGAAACGGAGGGATTTCAGGGCGAGCTGCCTCACACGTGCAGGTACAGAATCTTCTGATGAATTTAATAAGAAGCAGCAACAGCCAGTCATCGTTGCATCACTTGACAACGCTGTTATTTCGTGTGCTTCAAGTGCATGTAGTCACAGGCTGCTGTGAGTAATGGGCGGAGCCAGCCGCCCCGCCTCCCTGATGATGACAGGGTGTGTTAGGTCTGCACAACCTGAGGAGGATCACTGCAGACCTGGACCTGGAAAACCAATCCAGTGACTGAGACTGAGTCAAAGGCCTGCTGCTCATCACTGGTTTGGATCTGCAGACTGAACATGTTGAAGAAAGACAACTTCCTGGGGATTGTGTGGAGCACACACACACACACACACACACACAAGCGCTCGTTTGTGTCTGATGTTTGGAGAGAAGCTGTGGAAACGACAGCTGTGGTTTGATGGTTCCACTGCTCCACTGCTCCACAGCCAACCAGGCTGGAGCTGCAGCAGTGACATTGTGGCTGAGGAAACACAGGTCATGTGACGTCTGTATGCAGCTTCAGTCCTCCAGGGGGCGTCCCAGGTTTCAGTCAGGGTAACAATCTATTGCTGCGGGTTCCTTCTTCCTCTGAACTCCTCCTTGGTCTTCACTCTGCGGGGACATTAGGACCACAGCACACTGTGGGGCGCGGGCCTCCAGCTGCCCGGATGAAGGTTTCAGATGTTGTCCTCCAGGGAGAGCTCCATCAAAGGGGGCATTCAGACATAAATCAACAGCCACACAGAACGGGGAGAAAAACACATGGTCGACGATGGATGCAGACGTCAAGGAGCTGAACACGGTCCGGCTCCGTGGGGGCCGCAGTGATGATGATGTCACCAGACTACCTGACCTGGTGCTGGGCTGCGGCCGCGTTACTGCCTTCAACCAAACGGCTCCAGACCATTGGTCACGCTCCCCTGCTAATGAGCAAACATTCACAATCGGAAAAATGTAAATTAGAAGCAGCTACCGTTTTTCCATCCCCTGCCAGCAGGGGAGCTGTGCAGACGCATACGTTAACGTGACCCACGGCTCCAGGGAGTGACTGTGTGTGGGAGGAAATGCAGACTTGAGTTCCACCCTGAACTCATTGTGATGGAACATGGACTACAATGGCCCTGGTGGCAATAACTGACCAACTGAACTGAACTGAACCGAACCGAACTGAACTGAACCGAACTGAACTGAACTGAACTGAACTGAACCGAACTGAACTGAACTGAACTGAACTGAACCGGACCGAACTGAACCGAACC